CTTGGAGGGCTCGGCGAGGTCGCGGCCGATGAGTAACCCGAGAGCGGGGCTGTCCACGACGCTGAAGACAATGCGCCCCGCGCGGCCGCAACGCACGAGCGGGGCGGTGATGCGCTGCTCGCTGGGGAACGCACCACCGTTGCCGAAGCCGTTGACCTCGGCCTCGGGCTCCTCCAGGATCTGGTCGCCGAGGCCAATATTTATGAGCTCGTCCTTGCAGCGGTGGTGCCACTTGAGACCGGCAACGCAAAATAGGCAGGCGGCGTCAACGACGCCGACCCCGTCGCCGTTCGGGCCCATGCCGTTGTTGGTGGCGTTGATCATGGACAGATCTGGAATCACGCGCTCAAAGACCAAGGTCTCTGGTGGCGGAGTGATTGGCCCCTCGGGATGAAGGCCGACCTCCTCGTCCCCGAATTCGACTTGCTCAGTAATGTTCGCCTGTCGGTGGGGCCGTTCACCGCGCCCCCCACCCTTGGACTTGTCCTTGGGCGGCGCGAACTTGCGGGATCCAGTCGCAGGGCACTCCGCGCCGCCGGCCCAGTAGCCCTTCTCGCCGCAGCCCCAACACTGAGAGGACTTCTTACGCTGGTCGACGCGGCCCCGCGAGTTCTTAGCAGGCGGGCGCCGCCGGTGGAACGCCGCCCCACGGCCCTCGAGGGCGCCCTGGGCCGACCGAATGGCGGCCATGGCCTCGGGGACCCCAGCCAATTCAGCCGCGGCAGCCTCCACCTTCGCGGAGTCGTCGCCGTCGAACAGCTCGGCGATCTCCACGTTGGACGATCCGATTTCGGCGCTGAAGGCTTCCTGCTCATGTCGGGCGATGTCTTGCACGTCGACCTCGGCATCGTCGTCACCCCCCTCGCCTTCTGGCTCGTCGTCGCCCTCGGGCCCCCTCGCAATGTTGGCGGAACGGGCCCGACCAGGTGGTGGTCGACGCCAGCTGCGACTGAATCGCGCAGACGATGGGGCCCACGAGCGCGAGGGAACGCTAGCTTGCCTCTCGGGCGCGTGAAGGTCCGGGAACACGCGCGCCAGCAGGCCGCGGACGCGCTGGTAGGAGTAGCGCTCGTCGGGCAAGTTGCCCACGACGCGCTCGCGGCGCTCGGCCGTCAACCCGGCCTTCCAGAGCATGAACCACCCCGCCACGTCGTCGAGCGCGTTGAGGTCCACCTCGTTCTCGCGCAGTTGATACGACCCGGCCTCGAAGCGGACGAGCCAATCTGTCATGCGCTCTCGACGGCGACGGCGATGCTGCGTCGACTCGATGAACTTCTCGAGCGCGTCGCCCTTCTGCGCGGGCTTCTGCTGGCCCAAGTGGGACTCGCGCTGCGCCAGCACGCTGTTGATGTCCTTGAGGTTGCAGTCGCGCCTCCTCTCGCTGGCTTCCTCAATCGCTTCGTCGGCAGGCGGACGCATGTCGGCATCGGGCAAGTTGGGCGCGGCCGAACGGGCGGTGCCCGTGAGTCGGAGAACCACCTTGGATGCGAAACTTTGCGTCATCTCCAGGTTCTCGCTGAGCTTCCAGAGCTCCACTTATTGCTTGAAGTCGCGCCACCTAGCAGGGTCACCATTCCAGGTCGGGATGACCTGGTTGCTACTGTTGAAATTGTGATTGTCAGCCATTGCGATGTAGATGCTGAAATTGAACTCGCAGACGTTCTCTGAGTTGTGGACTGCGTCGCTGACGCTACCACTGAACTTGTACATGCTGAAACTGACGTCGCGGACGTTCTCTGTAGTGTAGACGGCGTCGCTGACGCTATCAATGAGCTTGTAGATGCTGAAGTTGACGTCGCAGACGTTCTCTGTGGTGTAGACGGCGTCGCTCACGCGATCAATGAGCTTATAGCTGCTGAAATTGACGTCGCAGACGTCTTGATTCTCGTACAGGTATGAGCTGGCGTAGCTGACGCTGGCGGAATTGAACTTGTAGATGCTGAAATTGACGTCGCGGACGTCGAGGATGTGGACAGCGTCGCTGACGCTATCAATGACCGTGTAGATGCTGAAATGGACGTCGCAGACGTCCTCTGAGACAGCGCCGCTGACGCGAACGAAGAATGTGTAGATGCTGAAATGGACGTCGCAGACGTCGGGGGAATACTCGTACAGGTAGATGCTGGCGTCGCTGACGCTGGCGGAGTAGAGCGCATTGCTCAGGCCTGTGAGGGCTCGCAGGACGCCGCTGGGCGTCGATTCCGTGGCTCGCGACGGCTTCGTCGTGGCTCAATATGAAATGGCGCGCAGCACCAGGCAGCTGAGACCTGCTCCAAACTACCACTGTGATATGGATCGGCGCACAGCGCCGAGGGTCTCTTTTGCTGAGCGCGGCTCAAAACAAATGGCGTAGCTCTGGCCAAGGGCCCTTCGAGAATAAACAGCGGCAGCAGGGATAAATACAAACAGAGAGAGAGAGAGAGAGAGAGAGAGAGAGAGAAAGAGCGGGGAAAGAAACTGCATGGGGAGCGAGCTTGGTTCGCACCATCATCATCATCATCACCACCACCATCATCATCATCGTCATCATCATCACCATCATCATAATCATAATCATAATCATCATCAGCAGCAGCACCATCAGCATCATCATCATCACCATCAGCATCATCATCAGCATCATCAGCATCATCAGCATCATCATCATCACCATCACCACAATCATCATCATCGTCAATATCATCATCATCAGCATCGTGCCACTTAACCTGGCCAGGAGACCCTTTTGTGTCTCGGGCCAGGCAGGTCCGACGAACAGGGAGGCTCCGGGGCTGCGCTAGGCGGGTCGGGAGAGCGAGAGAGAGAGAGAGAGAGAGAGAGAAAAAAAAAATGAGAGAGAATGAGAGAGAAAGGACAGGAAGAGAGGCACACACACACACACACCACGACACGACACTGCACACACGAACGAGGAGAGAGAAAGAGAGGGAGAGAGAGAGAGAGAGAGAGAGAGAGAGAGAGAGAGAGAGAGAGAGAGGGGGGGGGAGGAAGAAAAAAAAAAAAAAAAAAAAAAAAAAAAAAACGGAGCGGGCGGGCAAGGAAAAGGTTTGAGCCGCGGCGGTCGCGGACATCGTCAGCTCGCAACCGCGCGGCCGTCCATCGTTCTACGATTCCAGTTCAACAACAAACCATTGCGCCATTTACCCTGGACAGGAGACTCTTTTGTGTGTCTCGGGCCAGGCAGGTCCGACGAACAGGGAGGCCCCGGGGCTGCGCGCTCGGCGAAGCGAGAGATTGTGAGAGAGAAAGAGAAAGGAAGAGGAACCAAAAAAGAAGAGAGGCACACACACACACACACATCACATCACATCACAACACAACACAACACAACACACCCGAACGAGGAGAGAGACAGAGAGAATATCTATTTTTATATATATATATATATATTATATATATATATATATATATATATATATATATATATATAGCCCGCCTCCACTCCCGAGGGCCAGCTCTTGAACGGCCTGGCACGATGGAGGTGCGGGGGCGACGGTGGCGATAGCCATCCGAAACACAGAGCGCTCCCCGGACGTTCTCACATACGAGCAAGGCCTATCTGTGCGGGTCGGAGCCAGGCAGACGCACGGGCCCCATGTTGGGCCGGGCGTCGACACACGAGCGTACAGACAGAAACAGCGAACAGAACCCACTGACTCCCCTCATTAGGGGGCTTCAAAGGCACGGAAAAAAAGGTTCTTTGACAGGGTGGCACGCGGGCGGGTGCACTTTGAGCCGCAATGCCGATGGCGTAGCATCGGCATGGCAACTCCCTGACGAGTCAGTGCGGCCCCTCTCGCATTTCCCCTACGCAAATCGTTGTTAAAACCACGCAGCCCGCCTCCATTCCCGAGGGCCAGCTCTTGAACGGCCTGGCACGATGGAGGTGCGGGGGCGACGGAGTGGCGATAGCCATCCGAAACACAGAGCGCTCCCCGGACGTTTTCACATACGAGCAAGGCCTATCTGTGTGGGTCGGAGCCAGGCAGACGCACGGGCCCCATGTTGGGCCGGACGTCGACACACGAGCGCACAGACAGAAACAGCGAACAGAACCCACTGACTCCCAAATCCCGACGGAGAGAAACCTGTCCGGCAGGCCGTCAGAAAAAGTAAGTATACGATGCTTGTGAGACTGGACTCGCATAGAGTGTTCAATGAGCTTAGCGATTTCACGACAAAAAGGAGGAGGGTCGGCAGCCGCCTGCGCCGCGAGGTGCACACCGCCGGCGTGGCCGGTGAGGATCACGCGAGGTCTGTTCGAACGAGAGCACATCCCACGCCTGCCAGCACAGCGCCGCTGAAGGCGGGACAGGTCGACGGCGTTCCAGGCAGCCACCGACGTCCGCTTACGCCAGGGGGCGCCGTACTGACAGCAGTCGAAAGTCAGCAGCTGGCAAGACGGATGCTGAAGCAATCGTTGCAGATGTCGCGCTTTCCATATCAGCGAGCCCGCCGGGTTCTCAATGAACACTGGGGTACGCAGCTCCAGACAAAGCTCGATTACATCACAAGAAAAGTGGGAAGTTCGGTTCCCCATGCGAACTTTGGCGGCCTCGTGAGGCAAGAGGTCAGCCCGCCCCATCGGCCGCGCTCGTGTCCGCAGCGGCTGTCGTAGCGCTTGTGCCCAAGTGGTGCAAGGGGTGCCCAACCAGACGGCGCCCGCGACCCGGCCTGCCAGCCAGCCCTTCACGGCAGCTCGGAACTCGCGGCTGAGGTGGTCCTCAGCTGGACCCCGCCACAGGTCCAGGTCCAGCGCAGGCAGCCCACGCCGCCTGACCGCCTCGGCGAGGTGTGCCGAGCCAGCAAAGAGCTCCAGCACCACGCGCCGCGCCCGCTGCGAACGCAAGGCGCGCCGAAGGCGCCGTTTGAGATGCCGGCTGAACACCCCGTCGTCGGCGCTGCTGGGCCCCGCTGCTGGTCGCTGAGGTGGGCCCGGGGCGATGACGCCCGAGGCCCCGGTCAGCGGCGGGCGGCAGGCCGCTTGCGGCCCCGCCGGCCTGACGCCGCAGCCACTGGGCCCAGGGTCGGCAGCACAGTCGCCGGCACCTGGCCGTACTGGTTCATCCTGCTGAACCCGCGCTCGAGGAGAGAGCTGAGGTTCGCCTCGACGAGGGCCCCGAAGGCGAAGACATCCGCGTTCACCCGCGCCATCTCGTCCAGCAGGGAGCCCTCCTTGCCGTAGCGCCGCATCGACGACGCCACTGCCCACCTGCCTCGACGCTGCACCTCGACCGGGCTGCGGCGGCCCGTCAGGTCGTCCGAGGCCCCCCCATGGCGGAGGCTGTAGAGGTGGGGCCTCAGCGACGACAGCTTCAGAGCCTGGCACGCGCTGCTGAACTGCGCGGTGAGCTCGTCCAGCGAAAAGCTCTACAGGCTGGCCCCGGGCGGCGTCGCTAGCCGCATCGCCGCCAGCACCGGCCACAGAGGGGCCTGGTCGATCAGCACGCCGTCGTCGTAGTGCCCAGTCTTCCCCGCCACTCCGCGCTCCAGCGGATGCATCAGCAGTGCCCAGCACGAGTATCCCGCGCCGGCTGCCGGGGCCGGCGGCACCAGGCTCTCGCGCGTCAGGCCCTGCGCCTCGGCCGGCCGCATGTAGGCTGCGAAAGCCAGGACCACCCAGCAAGCCACCAAGCTGCCCGTGGCTGATCAGCCAGCCCGCGATCGCGTAGACTGCAGGGCGCGGCAGCGGCAGCCGGGTCTTGCCCGGCGCGCGGCGCTTCCAGGCAGCCGAGGCCCTCGAGGCCCGGGGGAGCACGGATACCGTCTGCTTGAACAGCGAGGGCGTGACGTGCGCGATGGCCGCCAGCGTCTGGCTCCCGATGTTGCACGCCGCCCCCAGCAAGTAGTGGTCCGAGAAGTAGCTCGACAGCACCAGGTCGAGCTCCTCGTACGTCCTCCAGTCCTGGTGGTGCTGCTGGCACCACTGCACGAAGTTGGTCAGCATCTGTAAGTAGCTCCGCTCGGTGTTCGCGCGGATGGCCAGCGTCTCCAGTAGCGTCAGCCCCGCCAGCAGCGACCGCGAGCTCCGCGCCTGCTGAGCCAGCTTCTGCCGCTGCGCCACGGCGGCCCCCGCGCTGGGCACGCGTGACTTCCGAGCCGCGTCGGCGCCCACGGGGCCCGCAGCGGCGGCCACCGCGACGGCCAGTAGGAGCGCCCACTGCGGGCCCGCGCAGCACGCGCCGCCCGCTGAACCAGCCATGCCGCCCGCGGCTGACTGGGTCCGATGCGCTCCGTTCTGAGGCGACCCACCTGACGTACAGCTTCGAGCCGGTGGCGACTGAGAACGCACATACCCGTCCGAGGCACCGGCGGAGGTGTTTGCTTTTGGCCCGACCCTTCACGACCCCAAGAGCAAGCGGCAGATTGTCGACTATGATCATCACCCTTGGCCCTAGGCTGCTCGAGTCCCGCAAGAGATGACGGTAAGCCAAGCATAGGCCTTCACCTTCCAAGAAGAGGATGTTGGCCCCGCCTGAGACCTGGACGGCCGCGGGGGGCCGCCATGCTGGGGAGTCGGTGATGTCTGCTGGGACCTCCTCGAACCTCACCGCGAAGCCCTCCGGGTCCTCCGAGGCCTCCTCGGGCGCCTCGGCGAGCACCCCGCCAGAGTCCAGGATGGGGTCCGCGAGGGGCGCCACAATATAGTTCGGGAAGGGCTCCACGTGCTTGAGCGGGGTCTCGGCGGCATCAGGGTCAGCGTCAGCAGCGCGATATCAGTTTTTGGTGGCAGCCATCTTTTCCGACGCAGATCCGCAAGCAAGGGACCGCTCGCGAGCTGCCTGCGCCCCGGCGACTTTGAACCGCCAGCGCTCTGAGAACCGGGCGCAGCTGGCGACGACCGCGGCCTCCAGCCGCTGGCGCGCAACACCGAGCCCGCCTGGCGCGGCATCGCTGCAGGCGATAGTGCTGTGCCAGCCGGCGGTCAGGTCCGCCTGCAGGATCGGCAGCAGGTTGCGAACCGTGATCAGCTCCCGCGCCGCTGAGTCCCACAGGCGGCCAGGGCGGCTTCCGAACACCTCGACGAAGGCGTAGCAGGCGTGCAAGGTCGCCAGGGCCTCGCGCCGCAGCATGCCCATCCAGGTGATGTGCCCAAGGACGGCCCGCAGCGCGTAGCCAGTGACCCACCTCCGCCGCAAGAGGCTACCAAGCGCGGCCCGCAGCCGCCTTCACGGTGAGCGCCTTCCCCGCGTGCAGCTGCAGCCCCAAGAACTGGGCGTCGGCCGACGCCTCGACAATCTCGTGAACCACGAGCCCGGCGTCCTCAAAGCGCCGCACGAGGGAATGCATCAACGAGTTCGCCACCTCGGCGCTGGTGCCGATGGTGACCACGTTGTCGACGTACGAGCCCGCTGCGACAGGACGCGACGGTCCGAGGGCGACGCCGACCTGACCGTCCACGACGATGCTGGACGGGTCGACCCCGCTCCGCAGCAGGCAGGCTGCGGCCACATCTCGGCATATGTGAAGGGCCCAGGTGAACCCCATCGGCAGCACCAACACGCGAGCCGCCACCATCACTCCCGGCCCGAAAGGCAAGTCGTCGAGCCCGGCCTCCAGCAAGGTGGAGTCGACGGCGGGCAGCGAGAAGTACTCTTCCATGCCGCTGGGCAGCTTCACGTGGTAGAACGCACACCCCAAGTCCGCCGTCGCCACGAATACCCCCGACGCGGGGGCCTCCACTGCGCGCCAGGCAGCAGCGGTCGACAATCTGGTCTTCGGAGGCGCCTTAAAAAAACAATTTGCGATACGCGTGTCAAAGATGACGCGTTGCGCCCCGCTCTTCTTCGGGACGAAGAACACACTGACAGTTCCCTCGGCGCCCACGGCGGCGGAGAAGTGAACCATCCCCTTGCCGTAGAGCTGGCCCAAGAACTCAGCATAGGTCCGCGGGTCGCCGACTAGCCCCTGGTCGCAGCACGCCCCCCTCGGGCACGCCGTGGCCATGAGCTCTTCTGCCCCCCTCGGTGGTCTCAGGCGCGCCGCCTCCGAGGGCCCCAAGATGGTGGACAGCCCCACTGGTGGCGTGCTCGAAGATGGCCATGAGATCTGCTCTCGGCGGTACGGAACTGACGGGTTGCAGGCGCCGTCTCCATACATGGCGACGCCCTGGAAGAGCTCCGAGAGGGCTCCGCCCTCGCACTCACGCGTCTCCGCATGCTGCTCGGGCTGGCGACCAAGCCGATGTAGAGCGGTGTTCATGTTCTGGATGGCTGTCCGCTGGCTCTCGTTGACTGGGTCGCCGACAACACTTTGACAACCACAAGGCGAATTCAATGAAGAAATGGCAGCGTTCAGCCGATGCAGGTGGCGAAGGCGAACGGCGCGACGACGTAGCGGGCGGCGACTGAGCGTGGGCTTGCCGCACTCGCTGCCGCCGCCCACAAGAGGCATCGGGAACAGGTCGCGCTGTCTCCCTGCCTCGGGCGGCCAGGAGGCGGCCGCCTGGCCGGTGGTGTCCTTACTGCGAGCATTCTGCCGGTCCCCCAGGCTGCCACATTCATCGCCGATCATTCCCCCGCGGCGGCCGCATTGCCACGGCCGCCGCCTTTGCCTCCCTTCTTCTTCTTGCCGCGGCCGCCTCCTCCAGCTCCAGCCCCAGCAGCACCGCCGCCGGCGAGGGCCCGCTCCTCACGAGCCTTCCTCCTCTCCTTGGCGATAGACGCCTCCTTCTGGAGCTGGGCAGAGACGTGGCCCCGCAAGGCTGGGCACACGCACACGTGCCCACGCCTGTGGGTCATCCTGATCATCAGGTTGTGGTTCACGTCAGCATCCTCCGAGCTCTCGAAACGGTGCCTGTAGCGCTCGTTCTCAGTCTGGATAGACCGCGCGACCAGCTCCATCGAGGCCAGGTTCGAGCCGTGAAGCTGGTCGTAGCAGAGCCCAATCTCAAGCAGCCGACACATCATCTCGTGGTTGCCGACGCCAGGCTCGTCATCGTCCAAGTTCCCATCCGTGCGGAACTTCTGGTGCCAGGCGAGCGGCGTCCCGGCGACCCTCAAGATAAAGAGCACAACCCAGATCAGCGTGCGCGGCCCATCGATAGGCCAGTCCGCGAAAGGCACCTCCACCAGCAGACGCGCCGCCTCTGTGAAGGGCCGGTGACGCTGCCCACGTATGTCGGTCTGCACCGCCATAATCCTGAGGTCGCCGCCAGGAGCCTCCGCGGCAGCGCCCATGAAGGGCGCGCCTGCAGGCGCTGCAGCCGCCGGGGGCACGGGCGCGGCGACTGGCGGCGCCGCGGGTGCCGGCGCCGCCGGGGCGCCGGGCTGCGGGGCGGCAGCCACCAGCGCGCCGCCGGCAGGTGGGCCCACGAGGGCGGGCGGCGCGGCCACCAGGGCCCCACCGACGGGGGCCGCGGCGGCGCCAATGCCGCCGCCCGCGAGGGCCGCAGCCAGCCCGGCCACGCCTCCTGCGGCGCCCGCGCCGCCGGCCGCGGCCGCGGCTCCTCCTGCCGCGTCAGCGCCCACCGGCACGATCGCCCGCCCGACGGTGTTGGGCACGACCGCCGGCTGCACCCCGAGCCCGAGCATCGTGGCGGTGTCCTGCACCCCCTGCGCGATCACCGGGCCGAGCGGGATCGCGTTGAAGCGGTAGGTGGCGTCGCCTGCGAAAGCCGCTGCTCCGCCTCCAGCCGCGCCCCGGTCACACACGATGCACTCTGCGATGTCGGCGCCACCGATCAAGATCTCCACGTACGCGTCCCCATCGGGCGCAAGGATCCCCACGCCCCACGGGGCCGCCGCCGCGAGGCACAGGACGAGCCTCTCGTGCCACAGCCGGCGCCCGGCGACGTTGTAGCGGATGAAGACAAAATCACCAGGCTGCACCCCTATCCGCTCCAACGGATGTGTTGGCGCTGCCATCATTGCGAGCTGGCGACCGTCGTCCGAGCCCGCGCTGCCGCCGCCTGCTCCCGGGCCTCGTCCTCAATCGAGAGGGTCGCCTGCGGCACCTTGCCCGCCGCCGCTGGCGCCGGCGCTGGCGCCCCAGCCGCGCGCAGGCCGCTGGCCGCCCAGGCGCCCCCCGCCGCCCCGACGGTGAGGCCGACGATCAGCGCGGCCACCGCGTATGCCGCGATGAGGCCCACGCACGACGGCTCGGTCACCTGCCCGCCAGCGCCTGCGCAGACGCAGGAGGGGATGGCAGGGCAAGCAAGCTGAGGCGCGCAGGCGCCACAGCTCGGGGCCGCCGCGCGCGCGACCACGGAGGCTCCGATGGCCTGCGCCCCGTACTGCAGGACTCCTGACAGGGAGGCGGCGAGGTCCTGCATCGAAGACGCCTCTTGCACTTTGAGCCACAATTCCGATGGCGTAGCATCGGCATGGCAACTCCCTGACGAGTCAGTGCGGCCCCTCTCGCATTTCCCCTGCACAAATCGTTGTTAAAACCACGCATATATGTGTGTGTGTGTGTCCGCCGATGCGGCGTGTGAGTGTCTGAGAGCGTGGGCTTGAGCTCGCTCAAGCTTCGCTCTGCAAGGGGGGGGCACGCGAACGACGGAAAAATTGACACGCAAGGCCTCCCCAATGCCCCCCCCCTCGTCCTGCACACACACCCCGCCTCTGCACCTTCTGTTTTCCCCAGCTCCCCCCCCCCCTGCACTGCGCCCTGGAAAAGAGAGAGGGGGGGGAGGGGGGGAAGGGAGAGAGGGGGGGGGGCAGGAGAGAGGGGGAGGGGGGGGACAGGAGAGAGGAAGGGGGGGGGGCAGGAGAGAGGGGGAGGAAGAGGGGGGGTGGACAGGAGAGAGGGGGAGCGGGGACAGGAGAGGGGGGGGGGAAGGAGAGAGAGTTAGTTTTCCAGCGTGAGCTGTCGAACCATTGATGGCTTGAGCCATCCCGTTTACGGATAGTCGAATAACATTCAAACATATCTCAAACAATAACATTCAAACATATCTCAAACATCTCTGATGGTTCTGAAGCCTCTTACCCCGAACTCATACACACAATCTAACTCCGATGCCTGTCCTTTACAGAACCGTAGGAAAACAAACACAGCGGAGCGTGGAGCGATCCACAACTGCTTTAAACATACAGCTTAGCTCTATCTCGATAGCTTCTGTAAGACATGCAACAATGCTTTTCGAACATCAGGCTGGCTTGCTAGGCCAACGTGAAAAACTCCTGTGCTTTCGAGCTTTATCGAGGAAGCTGGAGGTAGGACGAGTGAGGAGCAGCAACGCAAGGGCAAACGCTCATTTCTCCTCATCACATG